CATTTTCTTTCTGCCTGAAAGATATTTTTTGCTAGATATATAATTTACAGTTGACAGTTCTTTTCTTTCAGTACTTGAAAAATGTTGTGATACATCCTTCTGGACTCCATGGTTTTAGATGAAAAAAATCACTTGTCATTCAAACTGATAGTCCCCTACAGGTAATGCATTGTTTCTTTCTGGCTGCTTTCAAGACTTTTCTTTGTCTTTAGTTTTCAGAAGTTTAATTATGATGTGTCTTGGTGTACATTTCTTTGGGTTTATCCTGTTTTGGTTTGCCTCAGCTTCTTCAGTCTGTGGGTTTATGTCTTCCACTAAATTTGGGAAACTTTCAGCCATTATTTCTTCAAATACTTTTTTCCATCCCACTGTCTATCCTCTCCTTCTAGGACTCTGATGATATGAATATTAACTCTTTTGTTATTGTTCCACTGGTCCCTGAGACACTTCACCACCTCCCCCACCAGTCTATTTTCTATTGAGTAAATTCTATTGATCTGTCCTCAAATTCACTGCTTCTATTCTCTGTCTTCTCCACTCTATTATTGAACCCAACTAGTGAGAATTTTATTTTGGTTATTACATTTTTTAGTCATATAATTTCTTTTTGGTCTTTTTTATAACTTCTGTTTCTCTGCTAGGAATTTTTTTTTCATTTGTTTAAAGATAATTTATAGTTGCTTGATGAAGCATTTTTATGTGGCTGTTTAAAATCTTTGTAAGATAACTTCAGCATTTGATTAATCCTGGTAGAGGCATCTGTTGATTATCTTTTCTCATTTATGTTGTGATTTTCCTGGTTCTTGGTAATGACAAGTGATTTTCAATTGTACTCTGGACAGTTTGGATATTATGATACTCTAGATCCCTCAAAAAAAAATTTTTAGCAGGCAGTCACCCTGTTGAGGTGTAGTTTGAGGGCTGGGTGGGTGTGTATTTCAGCTTCCCACCGGACTCCCCTGCACCACCCCAGAAAGTGTATGGCACTAATTCACACTGCCTTGTTGCAAACAGGTGGAATAGAAGTTCAACTACCCTCTTGGCCCTGCTGACACCTTCCCAGTGGAAGTGGGGCAGTCACTGGAATGACCTCTTGCCTCCAAGTGTAGGTATAAGATCTTCTCTCTTCTGGGCCCTCCTGACACCAGGGAGCTAAGGGGGAAAACTGGAGTGCCATGTGGTCCTCCTCCCACTACCTCATTGATGCTGGGTGGATGTGGAGCTCAGCTCCCCACTAGATCCTGCCGACATAGTAGGGGGAAGTATGAAGTCTAGTGGTAGACAGAACAGCCTCATACCACCTTGTTAAGTCCCTTTGCTACTAGGTGGGCATAGAGATTCAACTCACTGCTGGACCCCACTGACATTCCTTGGCGGGGGAATCAGAGTGTACCCCCTGCTTCTGAGGGGTAGAGGTGGGTGAAAAGGGAGATTAACTTCCCAGTTGGACCCACTGATACCATGTACAGGAATGGGGGTGCGGTTTATTGCTAAAAAGGTTTTCTGCTGTTAGCACACTCTTTTCTGGGTCCTTCAGCTAAAGGGAAGAGGCTTTCCTTAGATCTTTTTATCTGTGCCTGTTGGCATTTCCTGGTTGGAGGCTTCTGCAGCATCCATATGAAAGGCAACAAGGAAATTTAAGGAACTCACCATCTTGTCCTTTCTCAAGTCTGGGATCCCTGGGCAGTTGACCTTCTTTTCATCTTTCAGAGACTTCCTCTGCTTGTTTGTTGTGTTATGTCTACTTTTTCTAGTTGTACAGGGGAGGATCTGGAAAGAATGGCCCTATTCCATCTTGTCGAACTGAAGTCTGTCTTCATTTTAATATAGATGTTCTGAACATTTGTGTTTCCTTAACCTTGCTTTTTAATTGCTCAAAGCTCTTATAGTAACAGTCTTGTACTTTAAATAGCAGCAGTACCAGATGACAGAGTTGTAAAGATAAGTAGGAATGTCGTTAGGAATTGTAGGGACATCTTGGCCCTACTTTAGTGATGTCTATGAAGGCTGCCCTTTCTTCCCTTTTATTAGCCACTGTGCCTCAACCAAGTGCCATGATAAATTTCTCTTTTTCCTCTATCTCTCTTTTATCTTTTCTTCTACTGCCTATATCCAGAAGTGGTGAACCTCTGTAAACCAATTATGTGTGTGTGTGTGCTCACTTATTTCATCTTCTTCCTAGGTAATAAATTTTCTTTTATATTTAACATGCTCAAAGACTCAGAACATTTGAATCATAGCTTTTGTAAAAGCATAGTCTGGTGGAATTATAAGAGCCAAATGTTAGTCCACTTCTAGCTTTGTGACTTCCACTGGGGCTAACCTGAGTTTTCTAGTTTTCTTAATAAGGGCAATGCTAGATTTACATCCCTCAGGACATTGTGTTAAAATGAGATAAGATATGTGATAGTGCTTTGGGAACGGTAAAGCATCACCCAAATAGTGCTGAATGTAAACACCACTGCTGAAGATGCATGCCCACACTAGACTGAGCAAGGGTCATCTGCCCACCCCTACCCCCCCCCCACCTTCCTTGGAGGGCTCATTCTCTAGCTCCTTGGAACCTTCATCCTGTCACACCCAATCACATCAAGGGGAGCTGGAGGGGTGGGAGTAAGGCCTCTGACCCTCTGACTGCATGTTTCAGGTCTGATATTGGTAGCAGGAGTGGTCTTTGTGGGGTAGAGAGATCTCTAACAAAGCAATAGACCCACCATTTGCAGGGTTTTCGCTGACCTGAATAATCTCCACCCCACCTTGGCCTTGACTGCTCCCAATCCAGGTCCCCAGGGGTCATGGCATGTTGTTCCCCACTTCCATAGGTGGCTAGTGATCTTGGAGGTGGGACGTGTAGTATACCTGGGAATAGGAGAATATATTTAGAGAATACTTGCAAGCATTTGCCTAACATTATCAACACCTTTAGGGGGAAGTCACAGAGCAATGAGACAGCAACTATTAACGGTAACAACAATAAGCCAAAGCCTACATGGCAAATGGACAAAATACAAGATCTATTGGGTGACTATTTTAGACCAGTGTGCCAGGTGCCAGAAGATAGAAAGATGAGGGAGATAAGTCCCTTACCCCAATCTAGTAAAGGCTATGGTCACATAATCAGCTCTGAAGGGTGAGATGTTGCTCTGGTAGTGATGTACCACAGTTAACAGAGTCAAGCCCAATCTCAAGCCAGCTGCCAGATCGCCTTTAATGGTCAAGTGCTACTTCGCCTATGTCTACTTTGTAGGTATATTTCCTTTAGAACAATTACATTACTGTGATATAAAGGTTTACTAGAAGGAAGTCTTTTCCTCTACCTAGTTATAAGGTCTTTGAAGTCAAGGTCTGTATTCTTTTCATCTTTGTATCCAGAGTGCCTGATGCATAGTATGTATTCATTCAAAAAGTATTCATTGAGCACCTAAGTGCCAGGCACTGTTCCAAATGCTGGAAATACAGGACATATAAACTTCCTGCACTTAAGAAGCTTACCTGCTACTGGAAGAGATGGACAATTATGATTAAAGACTTTAGTACACTGACATTTAGGAGGTGATTTGTGCTTTGCTTAGCAATCTCCAAGTGGGTCCCTTGGAGACCCTTCCCCCTTTGACATCGAGTCAATTCCAACTCACTGCGACCCTGTAGGACAGAGTAGGACTGCCTCATAGGTTTCCAAGGATCTAAGTCTTACGGAAGCAGACTGCCACATCTTTTTCCCACGGGCCCTCTGGTGGGTTTGAACCATTGACCTTTCACTAAGCACCTGAGCACTTAACCACTGTCCCACCAGGGCTCTGTTGGAGACACTTAGGGCTGCAAATTTCTGATAAAATTTATCTATGTCAAAATATTTTGAGTTGGAGTGGATATAAAATCTCCAATTCTCTAGCTCATTGATCCTACCACAATATGAATTGCTTGAATGGTCCTAGGAAGGCCACTCCTGTGAGGCTTCATTTCAATTCAACCAAGATAACACAAGTTGTACGTGCAAGGCACTGGACAATATTTTACATATATTATCTCAGTGAATCATTCCTTTTGGTTAAAAAGACCTTTCATTACCCATCTCCACCCTCCTCTCCTGCCCCAGGTCTGTATTGAGTGCATTTTTCACAGGAGACAGAGATGCTCCCAAGGCATCCTGTATATTCATCTGGTAGAGCTGTAATATAATTCTCTGTTTGCTTGTCTGCCAGCCACATTCACTAATAATTTTATCTCCTGAAGGCCAGGGAGGCAGGAGAAGGTGATTAATCATATGAACTCTAAGGGTTAAATCCTAACTCCTTTACTAACTGTGTGACCTTGTGCAAGTTACTTAATCTCGCTGAGTCTCAGTTTTCTCATCTGTAAAATGTAAATATGTAATAACAATACTTAATTTGTTGTGAGGATTAAAATAAAGCACATAAAAAACTCAACATGGCGCCTATCATACAGTATATTCTCATTAAATATTAACTAAAATGGTGCTTGCCACATAGTAGGTATTCAATAAATGTTTGTTGAATGAATTAGTGCCCACTTAACCTCCAGCTAATACGTGAAGAGACTGGTCTGACTTGAAATCTTGTACTCCTTCCACAACAACATGCTGCTGTATAAATATCATGACAATTCTTTTCTAAATAAAATTTTAAACTACATAATCAGATGAAATTTTTGTGTTATTTTTAGATACATGAGTCAGTCTAGAAGAATGTTTAAGTACCAAACATTAAAATTTCCAGGGCATTTTAATGGCTTATTGGGACAACTGGACTAAATAGTAGAATCAGTAATGCCCTGAAAAATTTGGGATTGCTGTCTTTTAGGTAACTGAATCGTCTTGTATGGAGTCCAGGAAGTTCTTATATCAAATCCTGTTCCCTGAAAAACAGTATTAGCATGATGTTCCAGTGTCTTGGATTAAGCAGAATACTGTCAATAAATATTAATTCAAAGTAATGTAAATATTAACAATGGTTTTTAAAAGGATGTGTCAATCTACTTACTGTTTTTCCTTTTTTGTTTGTATTTTTCTGTCCATAGCCCTTATCTTGCATTAACATGTTAAAAAAAAAAAAGAATGAAAAAAATGATTATATAACTAAGGTGGAACTTATGGCAACTGACGAGCATGTTTTACAGACATGTCTGTAACTGATAGCATAGTGGTTAAGAGCACAAGCTTGGGAGCCAGACTGCTTGGCCTCAAATAGTCCCTGCAACTAACTAACCACATAGCTTTGGACAAATTATTTTGCCTCTCTCAGCCTCAGTTTCCTCATCCTTCCTTATAGGGTTGTTATGTCGATTTAATGGGCTAAAGCATCTAACACTGTGTCTGGAACATAATAAGCACAAAATGAATGTAAATTTTGTTATTGTTACCATCATTACTTCCTCTTTTGCTTTATTCCCTTGTGTTTGTCACTTAATAACTATATCATCTTTAATAGTATTGTTGAAATACATTAAATTATTAAAATTAAATGTTGCAATTATGTAATGATGTAGTCATCCTCCATTTTGAAATCTGACATAATTAGCCTCCATTTTGTGATGTGTTGTAAATCTTAGCCTCTATGCCTGTGGTTTTGGTTCCATTTGTGAGTGAGTTGTCTATTATGTTAATGAGGCAGGATTAGAGTGGGATGTATCCTGAGTCACCACCTTACTAGATGGTGTTACTCAAGTCACCACCCTTACCCCAGTCACCACGCTTATCCACCTTTATTCAGATTACACCCTTACTTGAATCACATCTTTAATCTTACAAGAGACAAAAGGAGAGAGAAGTAAGAGAGAGGAGGGGGCCCACTACCACCAAGTAGAAGAGTGGAGTCCATCCTTTGGACCTGGGATCCCTGTGCTGAGAAACTCCTAGACCCAGGAGACAGAAAGCCGTAACACCAGCCGTGGTGCAATATGGCAAGAAGCAGCGGCAATCATGGCAGAGAACTGGCAGCAGCAGAATCAGGAGACTGGTGCAAGACAGTGCAGTGGGTTTCCCAGCCCACAGAGTGAGGTGGCAACAGTGTGTGTGTGCCGACCCACAGAGCGAGAGAGTTGAGCACCTTTGGGCCGAGAATTACTAGTGGAATGGGGTGCCCCTTTGCACTTATTGATGGAATTAAGAGATGTGTAACACTTGCTAGAGTATGGCGGAGGCTGGGTTGAGGGGCCGAGGGGCCTAGGGGCTGAGGGGCCTAGGGGCCAAGGGCTGGAGAGAGAGGCCTGCATGCACGCACGGCTGAGAAGAGGCTATCCTGATTGAGTCATTTCTGTTCCTGAACTGTAACCTGCTGCTTCCCTAATAAACGTGATAATTGTGAGTATTGTCAGTGAGTTCCGTGTGGCTATTGCAACAAATTATCAAACCCAGCAGAGAAGTAAAGAGTGCCATAGGAGGGACGGCTGGTGTCAGAATTGCTAAAAAGTTTGGAGAGAGAGGTATGTCTGACCTCAACCTCTTAGGAATCAGCCTTGGGCTGTTAATGCTGATAATGATTCTCTCTCCCAGACGTGAAGTTAGAGGTGGTCAGACACCACTGCGACACCATTTGTACAACATTATTCAAAGCCATGTTTCACTGGATATTCAAAACTTTGCTTTTACTCATCCTTCTTGGAGCTACGTAATTTTAGCCTATCCTGTAGCAGTCATTTGGGTAATCTGCCATCATACATACCCAACTCTGTGTAAAAAGCTGTGTAAAAAGACAGTCTACACTCTAGATACCTTTCATTAATAATCCCTTATTTCCTCAATAATTCAATTCATGAACCTAGAGATGAGTCTTATGTAATAAACTAAAAGTTATAAAGCAGGGAGTGGATCACCACAATCTTCAATGAACTGTGGTGGTAACTAAAACACATGCGTATAAATATCAGGAACCAGAAGGTCTGTAAGAAAGTTATCTCCAAACTAACTGGGCTAAGCACATGTCTCTAATTTGCTTACCAGTTGCTGTTGAGTAGATTCTGACTCATGGCAACCCCAAGTGTGTCAGAGTAGAATTGTGCTTTCAGTGACTGATTTTTCAGAAGTGGATCGTCAGGCCTTTCTTCCGAGGTGCCTCTAGGTGGACTGTAACCTTTTCAGTTAGCAGCCAAGTGCGTTAACTCTTTGCACCACTCATGGTCTCCAATTTCCTTACAGGTAATGATAATTCAAGGAATTCAACAAGAGCGCCATGTGAGCCCTATTAAACTCCTTAAAGTACTGCATTTCATTTTATACACTGTATTCATAGAAGCTATTGGGTTAATTATATAAGACTGGTCTGTGTAAGCAAACTGAAAAATATAATAGTATTATAAAACTACTTTAAATATATATTTGGGGATCTTATTTAAATAGTTTTAAAAAGGATCTGTTCAGAGCAATAGGAGACTGAACAGTCTTGAAGTTGCCTCTTTCATTTTAAAGATGAAAAAACTGAGGTACAGAAAAATTAATGACCTGCCCATGAGCAAATTAGTTGTAGGTAATAAGAAAGTAAATCCTGTGTTTTCTCCTAAGCATTTACTTTTTACTTTTTTGTTCTTTTAGATACACCATAGATAGTCTTTCCAATCCTGTGTTTGATTTGACATTGCTTACAAAGCCTTCTCACTCTTCAGAGGAGACTGGACCACTGGCTTGTTCCACAGACTTGTTTTATAGAATTTTCAAATTACTCAGCCTTTCCATACCTCAGTTGCTTCATCCATAAAACTAGGATAATAGCGTCAACCTCCCAGTGATGTACGAGGATTAAATGAGTTATTATATGTGAATTATTTACAAAGTTATGAAGCTTAAATAAAGTAATAAAAGGTAATTGCAAAGAATTATTGAAATATGTATTCTTAGTATCTGGTTCCACTCTTTCATTTTTAAAATGGGAAAATTGAAGGTTTTATAAGACCAATGATTGCCCAAGTCCACAGAGATAGTTACTGGCAAGCAGGGATGAGATCCTAGATTATCCCTCATTAATTTTTTCTATTACTTGATAAAATAATTTCCTCTTTCCAAGGAATAGTTGGAAATAATAAAATATAATATTTTCCTTTGGTAAAATATAATAAATAATAAAACATAATATTTTCTATTAATAAAATATAATATTTTCTATTACTTGATAGAATAATTTCCCTTTTCCAAGGAATAGTTGGAAATAATAAAATAAGGAGCAGGCTGTTCTGTCAGATTTACTTCTAAAGTTCTTCCATGGTTAGGATAATCCAAAGGATATTAAAAAAAAAAGTTTTGTAGGTATCAAATTATGGGTACCCAAGTATCTCTGCTTCCCAAAATGTCTTACTACTTCTGAATGTTATTCCAAATGGTCACATTTTCTTTTAGAATAAATAACGTGTATTTTATAACGTTCTTGCTATTTAAAAGCATTAGTTCCTGGAACTGACACCATATGTTCCAAAATAACTTCCTGCACGCCAACATATGTTCTTAGACTTGTTATCGCTGTGTGGAACAATGTATAAATACATATATAGCTAAAGTATTAAATTCTGATCATCATTATTCTATTCAAGATAAGCCAGATTTCCATTTTCCAGACTTTATCCAAAAAACATACTTTTCAATCACACTTTCTTCTGGTACTTCATCCTATAAATCCTTAATTGGAGAGCACTCTCTACAATCCAAGGATGCTTACATTTACAAAGAAATGTGCTTGCTTGTTTATCTTCCCTCTCAAATGTTCTTCTAGCTATATTCTCTTCATTTTAATTAGTTTACTGCAGCCAATTCTGGGTGGATATTCAATTACTGTAAGCTATGACTATTCTAATTGTTAAAATATTAAAATACTATTGTACTAATTGGTAAAAAGCTGCTGCCTCAAGATGTCCAAGTGCCCACCTCACATGCATTGCCCTGGCTGCCTTGACTCCTTTAGGTATCCCTCCTTCTCCTTCAACCCTAGCATGGCACGGCCCGGGCCTCTAAAACTCTATTCCAACAGTATTATCTGATCTGGTTAGTCCATGCTCATGCTGTACTGGTTGTTAAATATTTTGATTATCACTTTTGGGTTTACTTTATGTTGAATATGTCCTCATAACCATGTCACTGGACAACTCCTTGAATTAGAAAAACCTCTTCACTAGATAGATCTAAAGGGTGGCCAAAAAATTTGTGAACGCAGATAAATTATAAATGGCTTATTAATATTATATTTTAAAACATGAAAAATAATACCTAAGTTTCCAATTTTTAAGGTCAACTGTATTTCACTTTGGTTAATTTTTCTTTGATGGAGTAATTCCATCGGTTTTTCATGCCAATGATCATAAAACAACATAGTATAATTTACCTTTTGAAAAAAGTCTTAATAATGATTATTTGAGTTCATGTCGCCACTTTTATTAAAAACATATTTTAAAATTATAACAATTTAAATACAAATAATAACTTACCTAATGATTGAGGGAAATTTGTACTTGTATATGTCGGGCTAAAGGCATAACACATATTCTAAAATGAAAGCAGAGCAGAGAAAGTGAACAGAAAAAGCAGGAAAAGACAAGCATCAGAAGAAAATACGTGATATTAATTTGTATACCATTGGCCTCTTCTCACTTTCTAAGGCCCAGGAAACAAAAATATTAATCAAAAGGGTAAAATAAAAAAAAAATAAAAATAATATTAACAACAAAAATAGCATATAACAAAAGAGAAGATAGAAGTGATGTCCAGAAAATGACGAAGTAGGGCCCTCAAAGAATAGCTCCCTCCATGAAACAACCACAACCTGGCAAAGACTAACAGGATCAATTTTTCAAAACTCTGGAATCTAATCCAAAATTTACAGCAACCAGAACCTACTACACTGTTACGGTAGACAAAACAGCCTGGTACTGGTACAGAATTGGGAATCCAGATGTAAATCCATCCACCTATGGTCATCTTATCTTTGAAAAAGGCCCAAAATCCATAAAATGGGGAAAAGATAATCTTTTTAACAAATTGTGCTGGCAAAAAGTGATGTCCATCTGCAAAAAAATGAAACAGGACCCATACCTCACACCATACACAAAAACTAATTCAAAATGGATC